AGCTGGAATTTGCAAGGTATTAACTGTTGAATTGAAGCAGTAAAAATTGCCCTTGTGTGTCATTTTTTAACTATTTCCTTTTTGGGAATGCAATTTCTCAAAGTTTAGGCCGGTCTGATTTCATTAGTATTATATTTGTTTTTCTTCAAAATATATATATATATATATATATATATATAACAAATTAATTGATTTAAAATATGGTTTTTTTCTGCTACACAGTTCTAACCATGTTTCAAAAATAGAAGCTAAAAGCCCCGAATTTAATTTTGCAATTAAATTAAAAGCATTAGTTCCATTTCATCCTCAAGCGAATTTTGGAGTAACTTTTAAAAATTACTGGGTTTTAAAAACACAGCTAAAATTACGTTTCCATGGTTACAGAATATTCTACTTCAATTGGACAAGGGATGTCTAGGTTTTCCTTATGATAGTATCTTTGTATCAGTTATTAGCTACAATTTGGTAAGGGGTAGGGATGTATCTTTCAATGAAAATTGACATCCATTGAATGCATGTCGTCTGGATTTTTAAAAAAAAAATTATTGTTAATGGTAAAAAAATTTTTACGGCATTTTTTTTTCCCTTTATAAACTTAAAGATTTTCGGGGGTGTTCAGATCATAATACTTTTTATTTAACTACGATTTAAAATATCATTTTTAATTTTTATTATACTATATTCTTTTTTAGAACAGTTAAATGTATTAGAATCCACTATATTATGTAGGATTATTTTAACATCAAGTTTAAGTTTGTATATGAGGTGTCATATTTTTTTTTTTTTTATGAAAAATTTCTGACTGTTCTGACAGCGTAAACAAGGGATGTTAGGGATACCTAATTGAAAGTTACAAGCCAGTTCTTCCTTTATTGGGCTGTTAGAGCGATGTCAGATAAAAGATCAGCTCTGGTCACTTAGATTTTTTGTATGTTCATTCATAAACTGTTATCATCTGCATATATATTTACTGATGACCTGAGTATTTTCTTCAGCAGATCATTAAAATAAAGCAGAAAAAGGTAGAACTGAGGAGTGAGCCTTGCATTGATCTTGACACTACCCTTCAAGGACCTATCTAATAGGAAGAAGTTTTCGATAATGAAGACTCTTCCAAAGATTCTGTAGCTGGAAAATTTATGTAGCAACCCTCTATGCCACGTCTTGTCAAAGTCTCTTGAGATATCTCAGGTGATTGCTCTCTTGAATATAAGTGTCTCAGTGTGTGTTATGTCAGGACATCAACAGTGGACCCAGAAGAGCGAAATCCATACTCGGGACGTTGTTTCTGTTGAGATGATCAACAACCTTCTTTTGATGAGACTTAAAGAGTTTGCTGATGACACTAAAGAAACTGTTTGAGTGTCTTGAGAGTGGGGTGAGTGTTTCCTCTTATTCTTGAAGACAGGTGTTTACTGACACCCTCCATAGATTTAGGAAACATTTCTTTCAGGTAGTAGCTAAACAAATTGGCCAAGTTTGGGGATTGTGGTTACATCTTATAATCACATTCTTCTTGATTGTAAGCAATTTCCATAATCAGTTTCCTTCAACCAACAGAGTAGCAGTACAAACTCAAGTTAAACAATCCACAAACACTGACTGCAACACTTGTCTCCTGTTTGCTACAGTAGTTACATCTTGTCTGTTTTCTTGCCTCTTTATGCACTTTTTATAGCATGATTGACACTTAAAATTTATATCTTATGAGATTCTTTTGAGAGTCTGTCCAACTTTGAGATCTGTGTTAAATGCATGACATGTGAAGCTGCCATTTTCTTTTTTTGGACACCCTACATGTGAGACATGTCTGAATCCATTTTCATCCTAGAGGTAATCCATTTTCTCTAGTGTTACAGGGATTACTCTGGGATATGGTTCTTTAGAACCCCACAGGGATTTTATCTGAACCAGTAGCCTTTGTAGAATCAGAGCTTTTAATGAATCTGAAAACTTCGCATGCTGAGAGAAAAAGATAACAAAGTTTGTCCCTTCATAAGAGGGAGGAAGTCCGGTAGGAAATGGCCCTCGTCATCTAATGTGGAGTTAGTGGTAAAGCTCATTGTAAAGAGCTTAGCCTTATCCAATGAGATAATCTTAGAACCATTTATATTAGGCAGTAACAGTTTACCTCTATTGAGAATTTTGAGATTTCCCAGAACTCACAGGAACCAAGTTTCTTGTTTCCAATTTTGGCTTGGTTTGATTGTGCATAGCTGATCTTTACATTTTCCAGAATTTTCTTGCACTGATTGCTGGCTGTCCTGAATGTGGCAAAGATTCTGCTACACTGTTCCCTGTGGTTATAGCAAGCTATGGCTGCAGCTCATTCTGACATGAACCAAGACTGGCTATTCAACTTCTGTTGATATTTTTTTTGTGTGGATAAAATTCCCCATGCCAGGAAGAATCCATTCAGAGATGAGAGGACTGTTCTGGAGGTTCTGTTTTTGAAGAATGCTGAGAAGAGATTCAGCAATGTAAGATCTGAAGCTATCTCAGTCAGCTTTAGCATCCTAAAAGATCATCTCATGAAATGAGTCATTGGAAGATACCTTTGGTTTCAAATTAATTTTAATATTTTTCAGTAAATGCTCTGATGCGTACAAGGGAGGTAACATTTCAGCAAAATTTTCTTCAGGACAGTAGGTGAGAAAGAAGTATAGGAGGTTTGTGTGATGCCCAGCTATGTTATCCATGATCTGGTTCAGTTTGTAAGCAATGGAGAAGTCATGATACTATCTTCCTTTATCAACAGTTTTGTTTGAGTATGGACGAACCATTTCTCATTAGGACAGGTTGAAGTTTCACTTTTTCTTTTTCTTTTTAATATTGTGCTCGGTGCAAAAGCTGGTATTTGTTATGATAAGTGCCGGTGCCAGAAGTTCATAGCTTTTATCAATTTTTGAGTATTTAGGTTTAATTAATCATCTGAAAGAATGTACAGAAATACCTAATCTTTGTATGTTTTTGCTTAGAAACCAACTTCAAAATTATACCATTTCAAGAATAAATCCAAATAAAGTTGATATTTTTTGTATTAGATACGTCGAATGGAAAATATGTTCAAACCAGAATTCTAATTATGAATCACCATGCAAAATATGCAATTTTTTTACAGTATTCAATAGATTAAAGCTGTTAAAATTGTAAATGATTACAAAATGAATAAGATCTTACACCATTTGTTAGGCTATAATTAATACAAACAAAAAAAAAATAAGTGTTTATAACACCTTAATGTTGGGCACAAATTATAAGACAAAATATTTTAAATTTATATTGTTTATTGAAAATTGCGCTAAAACTACTTGACTATATAACATATTACATCATAACATAGCTAAATTGTTCAGTATAATTTCCTTTTGAAGTAAATGAAGGTCTTATTTGATATAGTAATAATGTGCTTGTACTTTGATTCTAGTCCATATACAATTTGTGAAGCTTCAATAGTTAATTTAATTGCTTTTCCATACCTTGCATGTAAATTTCGCCAAAAAAGAAACAAGTATAGAATTAACATTAACTCCCTGTGAGGAGGACAAGTGCAAACATTACCCTATGTTGATAAAATTTCAAAGGTAAATAAGAAAAATAGAAAGAAAAAAACGGTATTACTTACCTAAATGGAAATATAGTTTCTTCCACAGGAATAAATACATTTTAAATAAACGCCAGTCACTTCAAAAATACGGAATTATGTAGCTTGAAAAAAATGTTCTTTTTCAAATAATTATGTCATATATATATATATATATATATATATATATATATATATATATATATATATATAAAGTAATTTTACAGTGACAAACGGTTGTTGAGATTTCAATATCAAATAGAATAAAAATATTGGCAAATGTTTATGATAGTGATAACTTAGATCATACCCATCAAAAGAAAGTTCTGGTACAAGATTCATAAAGGAAATATTTTACTACTGTAGATTAAAAAAAATTAAAAATTTCTTTTCTCCACTAAAAAATAGCACTGCTAAAATTCCTTATGCGAAAAAAAGGATTCAATTTTCATTGTTGGCTACAATCTAAATATGTTATTGCATTTAATCTCCTTTTTTTTTTTTTTTCTTTTGCTTTTATAAAGTGAATATTTTTATATAATAATTTTGATTTGTTTCTTCGATTTATTGAGGACCAGGTAAAACTTGCAATTGGAAAACATTTTATTAAATGTTATTTATACATGTTTGACAGAAGTAAATCTTTCATTGATAATGGAAATGAAATTCCAATACTCCAATTTTGAAACTAAACTTAAAAAAAACTAACCATTTCAAAAAACTTATTATTTATCATGTCAAACCTCAACATTTGAATGTAGTGCAATACTACGGTTCCAAAATTGAGCTGTCCTATTCCTCATGGTGAATATTGAATTCACCACATATATGAATGCTAGCTAAGGCTTAATCAGATCAGATATTATCAATCTTCTCAGCTATTCTGTCAATAGTGAAAGTGAAAGATTTTACTATAAAATAAATGCTGTGAATGCGAGATCAGGGTCCTCATTTGTGGGGTCTCTGCCACATGGGAACCTTGTCTTTGATATAGGCGTTAAGTTCATGGCCATGGTGATTTTGAGGGACCTGTATTATAATTGGTTCAATTTGCCCAGGATTGTGAATTCCTGCATTGGAGCAGATAGACAGAGACCAATTTCAAGCAGGAACATGAAGTCTGGTTTGGCTTCTTGGAAGTTCAACTTTTGGAAAGTTGGAATGTCAACTGCTTATATTGGTGTATGAGCTTTTATGTTTTATCTCCTGGTCAATCTACATGCACATTTTCAGCTTGTTTCTCACTAAGCAAAGTTAATCCTTTTTAGGGAGCTTGTTAATAGGTGACATAGCTTGTATGCTAAAAGAAAATAATTTTTTTCTTCTACTCTTTCAAAAATGTGCATGATGGTCCTGGAAATAAGCTGTATTGAATTTTTAATGCTAATCAAGTGTAATTTTTTTTTTTCTTTTCCAGTTATCACTGAGCACAGTGGAGAGTCAGTGGCTCTTCATTCTAAAGTGATCTGCCTTATTCACCTAGGACGTTTTGATGAAGCCCTCATAGCCATGAAGAAATACCCAAATCTCTCAAAGTAAGAAGTAACTATTATTGTTTTTCTGCTTGGTGCATCCTATTTAAGAACAATATCTAGGTGTTTCCATGCTCACTGAATTATTCTGTCTTTGTGTGGTGCATATTTATAATACCAGTCAAACTTTCAACTTGTTGATTTGGTGCTATATATTGAATTTTTGGATACACGTGTATGAGAAAAATTTTCTGCAAGTAACTTTTGAAAAGTTTTTTCTGTAGATTTGTTTCAAAAGATTGAAAACAACTGTTACTCTACCAGTTTGCATAAATAATCATTGTCTGTAGAAGCTCATCCTTCCTGTATAGACTTTTTACAATTCATATATTGAATACTGTGTGTAGCTTATACATTTATTCATTTTATCATGAAATAAAAAATTTAAGGTTTTTAGATTAATGAAAGAGTTGATTGATATATTTATGTATTTTACATATATTTACAATTCAAAATGGCTACACTTTGCTTTCACCATCACCCTTAATCTCTTTTCAACTGAGTGCATGACTTCACCACATTTTTGCACAAATTGTACCACAAAGTTATAAGAGCCTTTTCAGGTCTGACACACTTTAGATATGTGAAACATCACTCTCCAGTATTGGCTATATCACAAAAACCATAGGATTAATTTTAGAGCATAGTGAAAGCTAAATTGATTTGTCAAAAAATCCACAGAAATGTCTGAGGCACCAGTTTGTTCTTCATCAAATTGACCATGTGTGTGGGAACTCCATCTTAAGTGAAGACAGTGAGTTCTAAATGTGACTGACAACCCCTCTCTCTCTCTCTCTCTCTCTCTAACAAACTTAGTAAACTCTGCTATTCACTTTTTACTTTTTTTTTTTTTTTTTTTTTTTTAATGAGCACCATGAAATCATAATCAGACCAGTGATGTGGTCCACCCAGGGCAGCACTTTTGGTCCATGTTAAGTTTTCAGAAAAGAAAAAAAAAATAGCATAATTTCAATAATTTTTGGAAAAAAAAAAAGGGCAGTGATTAGGAAGAAGATAGGGTTCAAATGAAGCCAATTTGTCTTTGATATGGCTGGCTCAAAGCCAGCTAGCCAGCAAAAAAAAAAAAATTCAGCTTGTGGGGATAAACCCCACTTACAAGACATGGCAAAAGGTGTGAAGAAAAATGGAACATTTTTAAAGGGGTTGATGTGGGGTTGGATTAAGTGAGTTTAGTGAATCCAAAGTTTTTTTTTTTTTTTTTTTTTTTTCACACCTATGTGAGAAGTCCAGACTTTGGTGTCAGTTCTTTGATTTTTTTTATCTCTGGGAACTGTTAGTGAAAAAAAAAATTAAATAATTGAACCAATTGTTTCCTTTTATCTTATCATAGGCCTAGCTTTAATACAGATATAAAATTCTTACTGTTCATAAATTATAAAATAGAGAAATAAAATCAATTCCAGTGCTTCAAGGATATCGCATACATTCCAATTTTTTCCAGGAATATCGAATGGAAACTTAAAAATGAAAATTAATATATTTTTTTTTTCTAAAGTGCACGAACTTTAAAGTCTAAAAATGTTTTTTTTTTTTTTTTTTTTTTTTTTTACAAGTTTTCATGGTAGTAAAACAATGCAATGTTTTATTTTTCTTTGTTTAGATAGTTGAAGTTTTATTAAGCAAAATAGAGTAAGAATGATAGCATTTATTTCATTTTTTTTTTAAAAGCAAAATTAATTTTATTAAATTTTTAATTCTTAGTCTGCTACTTTGCTAATAATAACTTCAACTATGTAAAAGAAAATAATTTAAAAAGATATTGCATTTTTTTTACATTGTTAAAAGAAAAACGAATCTTGTTTCTGTTAATGTGGTATTTAATTCATGACTCCTCACTTGTTAGAATTGAAATAAATATTTTAAAAAAACTGATAAATTATGAATTAAAAGTTCAATGTGTTTTTTTTTTTTTCTTTTCTTTTTAAATAAAACGGGTATATAAGCAAAAAGTTATTTTTTTATTATCATAAAAAGTTTTTAAAGTTTTTCCGATTTAGAAAAAAAGAAGTAACATCTTTGGGTTTTTTTACATATCCCCAGTTTTATTTTAAAAAAAATAAACACCATTGTATTTTTATTTCATAATTTATTATAAAACTGTAATTATGTCAACACAATTTCTCTATTTTTTGTTTTCAGGGGCCTTAATTTTGAAAAAGCTTATTGTGAATATCGCCTTAACAAAACTAATGAGGCCCTCAAAACATTGCGTGAAGTTGAAAAACCTGATTATCAAACTCAGGAACTTCTAGCACAGGTGGTAAGTATGAATATTACTTCAGGAAAAGTTTTAGAATTTTTTTACCCTTTTCATATTTCACCTTTAAAATAATCTGGATAATAATGTTCAGTGTTTTCTGGTTAATGAAAATGTTGATTTAATTAAAAAAAAAAAAAAAAAAAAGAAAACAGCTGTGCTGAAAAGTCACATTCTGAAATCTGTTGGAAACAAATTTATTAAATGACCATGACACTTATTGATTTATTTAAACATGTATTGCTATGTCAAAATAAGAATTGAAATCATTGGTAATATTTTAACTGAACTTTAACAAACGATGCTTCTTTTTAGAAAAAAGCTAAACTTAAGCGGTATGTGGTACCTAAATGTAAATGCTACATTTGATAGACTTAAAATGTTAAAACGTGCATAAATGTTTATATATTTAATGCATTACTTAGCAATTTATCATTCTGATTTAAATATATTTTTTGATTTTCCAGTTGTATCGCTTAGAACAGTATGATGAATGCTACAAATTGTATAAACAACTCATCAAAAACTCTGAGGTAATTTTATAATTATTGATGAATTTATTTTAGTTTTAACGGTGTTTAAGAAATTATCAATTATATATTTATGCAAATATTTGTTTTTGTAAGTAACATCTTAGTTCTGTTACTTAATCACACACACGCATGATGATTGAAGGTAACAGTTAATGAGTTGTAATTTGTGTAATTTGGTTCTTTATTCATATCATCCACAAAAAAATTTTTAGTTTAAGTGAATTTAACAAAGCATAAAGTGATAAGTGGTCAAATATGGAAACAAGCAAGAAGGCCAGGTTCAGAACTTATAAGATATGAACAGTCTGTCATTTATCAAAATTTCAGCTGACAACTAGATTTATAAAATAAGTTTTTGTTGTTAAAGAAATAATAACAAGATGAAAAGGGAAAAATAAAAGGGAAATGGGAAAAGAACAACAAAGAGGATAATATTTTTGACTTAATTGATAGCATAAAGATTTTAGATGTGGAATTAGTAAGATGAGTTCAAATTCCTGACTTGTCTGTTGCATTCACTTTCACACAAATGCCCTTAGGAAAGGCATGAATTCATCTCTCCTCTGTCTGGATTATCTAGACCTAGGTGGTAACCAGCCTAAGAGAAGAACTACTCTTCATTCAAAACCTATGGAGATGTCCATGGGAAACCATTCACCTGTACTTACCAATAGTTTATAGCAATTCGGAAATAATAAAGAAAAGGAATCTTTGGAGGATCACAATTGCCTATGTCCTGAAGTATATGGCATAAAAAAAGGAGTACTTATGCAATAGGCATGATATTAAGCAAATTAATTTTATTTATTTATTTTTTTTTTATCCATACTGACTTTGAGTAAATTAAGTTAATATGCAGCAGAGTGTAACATTGTTTTATATTATTGAACAGTACTGTTAAAAAAAGGTTTTGTAGTACTAGTTAGGGAGTAAAATTTTTCATATCACTCTTCACCTAAAAAAATATTTAAAAATAGGTGGATATTACTAAAAAGTAACATTTCAAAATTAAAATGACTACTTAAGCAAAATATTTAACTTAAATGAAATAATGAAAAGTGAAACTGAAATGTTAAGAATTTTAGGTAGTAGGAGCCAATAAAAGCACATAAATTCTTTGTCTTTTGAGACCTTTTGTATGAGGAAATTGTGATAAATTCTTGATTCAACTAGTGTTGTTCCAAATAAGATAAAAAAATCTGATGTTTGGTCATTTCAAGAAAATTTGGGAAGGAGGTCAAGCTGACAACTTTTCAGCACTCCCTTGTAAGCAATACATCAAATCTCATACAGTAGTAGGATAATTTCTATTACAATCATTTACTATATATAATGATCTGTTTATTCCAACAGTACAGTAAAATTCTATATTCATTAGACATTTCATATAAATCAATCATTTTCAAGTAAAATTACAACTTTGAAACTTCATTAAAGTTTTAATTCTATATTAGGTAGCACTAAAGATAAGTAGTCAGTACTTGAACAGACATTCAAAATAGGAGGGGTTTTACAGCATGCAGTTATAATTCAACAAAATATTATTTCATCCTCAAGACTTTTAAATATTTTTTACTTAAATATATTAATATTAAACAGTATTAGGTTCATTTATAATGGTATAAATTCACGGATAAGACAAAGGAGAATCAGAAGTTAATGTTGATGAAAACCCCCAAAACACAATGTGTTAAGAGTGAGTCCAAATTATAGAAAATGAAAGATTTGGAGATTTGAGAAACTAAATAAATTAGATATTAAACCTATGCAAAAATACTGTTGTGCAAATATGACTATTTGTAAGGAACAGATGTTCTTTTCTCAACCAAAGAAGTCTGGTAAATGGAAAGATTGGCTCAATGTAAAAGTAGTTGGAGCAGATCACCCAAGCTCATGGAGTTGTAATGAAATTCTTTGAAGAAAAGTGGGGGCTTGGAGAAGATTTTGGTTTTGACAGACATTGAGGCTTGTCAGTAAGAAAAAAAAATGTTGTGAGTAGATGATGAGAGGCAGAAAACATGGTATCATGTAAATAGGTGTTGCATGAAAAGTATTTCCCTGATGGGAGTAAAAGGCTAAAGGCTTGTCTTGTGGCAAGAGGGTTTGAAGAGAGGTTTGCTGATAAGAGAATTGCTATGAAGTAGACAAGTGCTTCTTTTAGCAATGGTAACAGCCTCAAGTAAGAATTGGAACTTTTATTCAATAGAGAAACTGTCCAAAGTTTGTAATGTTTTTGTTATAGTACTTTTGACCATCTTTTGTTATTATTAGTAATATTAATGTTATAGAAGAAAGTTAATCCTGGTATTTTTATTCTAGACAATTGGAATATGTATATATATTAAAAAACGAAAAAAAAAGAAAAAAAAAAAAGAACTAATCTCCTCAAGAAAAACATTTATTAAATTCCAATAATATTAAATCAGATCCATTAAACTTCATGATATTGTGGTGTATTACTCAGTTTACCTATATTGGAATATAAAAATGCATAAACCTAATTTCACTTTTTCCCATAATTTAAATAAATCTTACTCTTGTCATTTATCAAAAATTATATGCCAACTGATTCTACTGAGCTTGCATTAATTCTAATGAAGTAATTCACATGTTGCACTGAAATAACTAATAATGGCATCAGTTTTATTAGAGGCTAAATCTCTTTACTAATATCCTAGTCGAATAAACTATAGATAAAATAATGCAAAACAATTAAACATACATTTAAACCAACATGCAAACTTTTTTCTTGTATCAAGATAAAAGTAACAAGTATCTTTTTTACAATCATTTACATACAAACTGATAGCATAATTATGGAGTTCCATGTAGAAATTAAATAAAGTAGGACTTAGAAGTCTTACTTTATCTAATTTCTACATGGTTCATTTAGAAAACAACTTTGTTTCTAATAATTTTACAATATATATTAAAACTAATTTTTTTACAACCTCATATAATTTGCTAAACTTTTATTGCTACACAATTTTTGAAGATGGCTAACTATTCTTTAATGACTTCAACATTAACAATCCTTTGTTGGTGTTTTCCAGTTTAAGAGACACTATAAAATTTCAGCTGAATCATTTTTTTTTTTTTTTTTTTTGTCTAAAAATGGGATGACAGATCAACAAAATGGAATTTTCACTTTTACATATTTTGGCCAATGAGAACACTTGTAGCAAACATCTGCCTTCATGTTCAAACATAAAGGTTACAGAAATGGAAGATTGACTCATAAATCTTACTAACTTCTAAATTCTGTCATTGATATTTTATCTAATAAAAATGTTTGACATATAGCATTAATATTTTTCATCCAGTTGGGATTCTAAATAACAAATTTTCAAACTTTTGCCTTTATTTGAAACATCGAATAGTTGTTTTTTAAATGTTGTAGCATGGCATTTATAGTTTCTATTTTAATCAACTTTTCATGTTTTTGTTTCATCAGTCTCTGATTTTCTTTTTCAATCACTCTTTATACAGGCCATTGTATAGCAAGTTAAATTCTATTTTCTTTTCTTGCACATACATCCATCAATTCAAGGGAAATTGCTTGCCAAATTATACATTAGTTACACATACATATCCCATCTACCTCATAATGAAACTTATTTTCATACTTTCTAAATTAAAAATTTCATACAATAAATAAGTTATAAAACTGAACTTATCAAAATAGTATTTTTTTTTTTTTTTTTTTTTTTTATACATATTTATCATCATTTGATTTTTGCCTGAAGAAATGTTTTCATATGAATTGATGAATTGATTCTTTTTACTAAAAACTTTGAAACTCCCATTTAAAATAAGAATAATTAGATAACATTAAATCCACTTATCTAATTCCAGTTACCTCTCGACTACAAGACTCAGCCCACTTTTGCCTACTAGGTTAGATCTTTTGCTGTAGCAAGATGGGATATTTACTCGGATATCAAATGAATTAATTCCAAAATCTTATGTTGAATTTTTCAGTTTGTTGGATCCAATCTGCTAGGAATAACTGCTAAAAATGTCTCCTCTCCAAATGTATAGATAAATCCTACAGATGCATACTGGGATTTCTTGATAACCAATAAAAATGGACCAATTCTTGGTTTCATTCCCTATATTTTTGTTCTTTTGTGTAGCCTTTTGTCAAAATATCTTGTTGATTTGAGATAGCAGTAAGAGTTTGATAATGGGACAAAAAGGAGAATTGGTCATAGTTGTGTTTTCTTTGTTCCAAACTTTAAAAAAAGGCATAATGAGGTAACTTGAACTTTTTTTTTTTTTTTCTAATTAACATCCTCACCTCTTAAAAAAGTGCATAAGATTAAACTTAAGTCTCTGAGTGCAAGAACTGAATGAAATTCTGACCACTATTTTTCTGCACACCATATTTTCTCATTTTGAGTTGCATTTTCCTATTACTGATTATTTGTATGTTGTCAGAATATTATAATCACTTGACTGTCCCTTTTGCATATGAATGCAATTTGTATATTTTGCCCTTTTCATTTTCTTACTTTTATTGTTTATTGAGAACTTTGTCAATTCCTTTTGAGAATTTTGTCAGTTGTATTTAACTATGGCTAATTTTCTCTTCATTTGTTGTAGGATGATTTTGATGAAGAGAGACAGACAAATCTTGCAGCTGTACTTAGCTCCTTGCAAATGTGGACAGAGAATGATATGGTAAGTTTTTCCTTTTTATTTAATTTAAAATATTTTAAGAAAATATTTTCATTGTTTTAGCTTGTGTTCAATTTTCTAGATAATGGAAAAAGAAAAAAAAAACAGTTGCATTTATGAGATTTTTCTGGAATTTTGCATAATGTAGAAGGAAACATTGGTTTAACAGATATGGTCTGTCTACATTTTCTTGATACCAAGTTAGCTGGTTAACAAGATATTTAAGAGTACCTAGAAGTAATGTTTTTGAATTTTTTCAATCTCAAAATATTATTAATACTTATAAACATTTGAATGACTAGATATTGGGTTGCAATTCTGAAAATTTTTAAGTTGGTACTTTTTAAGTTAATGAAACCATTAAAATATATAATAGTTTCATATGAGTTATATTTTGAAATTACATACAGCTAGTTCAGAACAGCTGGAATGCCACTATTCTTGCTTTGATTGATCTAAAGAAAAATGTGGAAAAAGCAATTAAAAATAAATATAAAATGGTCAAGAAATGTATAAAGAAACTTTACTTTGACATATGTATTGCTCCCTAATTTTAAAATGTTTTTTCTCATTTTTATATGGAACTCTTTAGCATTTGTCAATGATGTAGTATGGGTATATGAGCACGGCATGTTAAAATAAAATTCCTTTTTAATTGTTGCATTATCTTGATCTTTCTATGCAGGAAGATCCTGGTCTTAACGATCTGTCTTATGAACTTTGCTATAATAAAGCTTGTTTGTTAATTGGTAAGAAGCAGTACAAAGAAGCTGAAGAGAAATTACGTAAAGCTGAAGGTAAGTTTATTTGTAATTTTTTATAATTCTCTTTGCTAAGATATACAGCCATATAACTTCTATAACTTTACTATTGCTTTAGAGTATGTTAAATAATAATTAATAAAATTGTTCAGAAATAAAGCCATTGTGCACATTTTTACTTCAGAATATCTTTTTGCAAAAACAAATGAAGTTCCTTGTATGCACTAAGACAGAAAAATTGATTGTTTAAAGGTGGCTTATTTTGTTTGTGTCCATCTAAACTACAATTTACTAACACTTTTTTCTTTAAGTTAAAGCATTCATTCTCACACTGTTTTGTGTTTACATATTTATCAAGTTCCTTTTGTTTTGTTTTTTATTTTATTCATGTGATGTTGTGATATCATGCATCTTTTTTAATCATTTTGATATCATTAAAAAAAAAAAAAAAATCTTGTTACTTTGACAACACATTGTCAAACAAGCCTTGTTGCCAGACTGTTTTGAGGGAGGTGGCCTTCAAGTCAGGGGACTATGAGTAGGAATTTAAACACTAAAATTAGTTCATGTCATTTTCCTTGGGGAGAGGATAAATGATTTTTGGGGAGAGTAGCCCCTCTTTAGTGATGGGCATTTTGTGAAAACATCTTATTGATTTGAGATAGGAGTAAAAGTTTGATCATGGGACACAAAGAGAATTGGTTATAGTTGCGTTTTCTTTGTCTCACACTTTAAAAAAAAAATTGCATAATTAGGTAACTTGAAATTTTTTTTTTTTTTTTTTTTTAATTAATATCCTCACCTCCTTTTTTTTTTTTTTTTTTTTTAAAAAAACAAAAAAAAACCTTGTGCATCAAATCAAACTTTAGTCTCTGAATGCAAGAACTGAATGAAATTCTGACCACTGTTTTTTCCTGCACACCATATTTTCCTATTTTGAGTTGTTTCCCTATTCAAACTGATTATTTGTATGTTGTCTTTATATATATATATATATATATATATATATATATATATATATATATATATATATAACATACAACGGTGTTAGCACGGCGATACCCTGTCTTCATCAGCCGACAAGGGGTGATCACACGGTTTCGTGGCTATGGTGGGACCAGCAGCATTTGCCACCAGGCAGGGTATTAAAAAAAAAAAACTAATTGATCGTTCCTCTTTGCAAGTTCTTAATGAAATAAATAAAACGATTGTTCCTCTTTGCAGCTTCTGTCCGTAATGAAAGTTCCTGAACGCGTTTACCCGTTATTGACGCTTCGTAAAAATCGTTATAAATGGCTATGCAAATATTTCACCTGGCGCATGTTAGGTTTTGATGATGCGCGCATGTTTGATCGTAACTTTCCTTTCTAAATTTGTCGTCGATTTGGTCGTTTTTCATCTTTCTATCTTCTTGATTACTGGTTCAAATCACTCAAAGCAAAGAATATATATATATAATGTGTGTGTGTGTGTATGATTGTCTGCTATGAGGCATAATGTTTTGGTTTGAAATGTCTGCCTTAACTATACATCCAGATTTTCCATTCCAAAGTTTGGGTTAATTAATTAGAAGACTTTAAGTAACAGATCTGAAAAGCCAAAATGAAAGTGACATTATTATTTCAGCACATATTAAAATGTTTAATAACAAGTCTGTGATCATTCCTAATAAAACAACATTGTAATGTTTATATACTCTTGATGTAAAAGTACTTCATGAGAACTTGTCTACATATGGCTTTGCTAATTAATTATATCCAATAATGAACTTTATATTGCTGCTCGACTTGAAATCGGTTTTTCATACGTGTGAAGACAAGCTCCATGCAGATTTTCAGTGAATAGCAAACTGTAATTTATGGGTTTTATGACTTACTTACAATTATTCTGTGCCCTTCTTATATTGTCAGTTGTTACCCTAGTTGGCCAGAAGATGACAATTTATTTGTGTGTCTTCCCTTGTTCTAAGACTGAAGAACAGAGGAAAAAAAGAGTAAACTATTTGCTAGCATAAAAGAAATAAATGCTTTGACTATCTGTTCATTTTTCTTTGGGCATTTTTCTCTTTTTTTCCTACAGTTGCTAGGTTTTGGAGAGAAAGACTTATTTTTATTTTTAAAATTCATTTTAGATTGATAAGTTCAGTGGGAAATCTTCTTTTAAAGACCTTAAATGTACAATTAACTTCATATAGTAATGAGGTGAGTACTTTTAAGAAGTAGGAAAAATTGGTAATAATGATTACTGGCAGATTTTTCCAGTGGGTATGTGAAACTGTTGGTTTCAATTGATTTTGCTACAAATTGGTGATAATGGACTATTAAAATTACTGGGTATACTGATTTGAAGTGTTTCTTGCAAAAGAATTGGTAATTATGGATGATTGCTTGAATGTATATAGATTTGATGTGAGGTATGTTTTGGTACATTGTGTGGGGGCTCTGATAAATGAACCATGAATTAGTGAGAGTCACGGAAAGGATTTATAGTGCATATGAATTGAACTTGAAGTGGGGAGAATTCTCCAAAACCATATTGACAGGAGAAGATGATAATGAAAAGAAATAGTAGTTTTTGACATGAGAATATAGAGGGGTGGTGTTAATTCATTTTGTTCATGTGGAAAATTAAAACACTAAATCAACAATATCATCATCTTCACTGACACAACCCAGCCAAGACATATTCCATGACTTCAATATAGAAATCTTAATGTTATTTTAAATTCTGTGAGGGTGTTGACATTCTGAAGGCTGATGGGAAGAACTTGAAGGCTCAGGTTGAACCTCAGAGGGGTTTGACCACTCTCTTTTAGCAGAAGTGCTTTGAGTTGATCTATGGAGAAAATATAATAAAATTAAGAATTTACTGTATTGACAGAATATTTTGAAAATAATAATAATAATGATTTTTTTTTCTTCATTTGAATCTCTAAATAAAAGAACTGTATCCTGTTAGGATTGACTCAAATCTTTATCACAGTAAAACATTAGGTACCTCCATTAATTCAGTATACATAAGGTTAAAAATGAATTTTCAAAAATAAAAAAGCTTTCTCGAAGTTTTCATTTTAGCTTTAATTGAAAGTTGTAGGATTTAAAATTTACTGTTTCCAGTAAGCAAAATTTTTATATTGATCGTAATCGGTTTATTTATGTTTTTAATTTAAAGTTGGTTAAAATGGCCGTTTTTGACACATCTGTAAACAAAAGTCATTTCTTGGTTTTAAAAATCTTACAAAAGTAAAATGTATATTTGGGAAATGTTATTTGAGGAAAATTAGCAAATTTAAAGTTAAATTGATCTGATTTGAAACAAATATTACTTACAAACACTTCTTAACTACATGGTCTTATTTTTGTTAATCTATTTACATCCGCTTGACAGTGGAATGTGTGTACCAGTATGAAGTGTGGTTAAAAGCAAAAAGGAATGATAATTTTGAAAATGTAAGTTTCCTTTGGGATTCAAAACTGAATTTGTTAATTTGAATGAAGGAAAATATGCTAACAGGTACGGAATGTGCATACTTGCAATTAGTCATTGGAGTTTGTTCAGTTATCTAAATCTTCAGGTAACAATTACGCTCATATCAAGTATTGAGGTTAAAAGGTTAGTGTACAGTGTTGAACAAAGCTTCCTGACACCTAGTTATGAAGAAAACAAGGACAGGAAGAAAAAGAAAGGGAAGAAATAGAGAAAGATTATGCTGAGAACTGTCAGGCAAAGCCAGTTGATCTTACTGTGAAATTCATAGCCAGGTAAAACCAGGATCCCTACTGTGTATCGGTTAAGGGGGAGGACAAAGAACCTAATATTGTAAAAATATTTTCCAACAGTTGTGAATTGTCCCCAACATGCTCTACCCTTCCGAAAAAAATGTTAATTATTATATAAACAGCTAATGGCAGTCGTCCAATATAGGTATCGGGAGAGATGTAAAGACAACAGTTTTGTCAAGAACAGAATCATGACTGCCCAACTCAGCTTGAACTAGAAAGACTGCTGCTACTGATTGCTAATTTTAGGTTTCTCTCATGAATGGACTTCTGATAATTCAGGAAATTTGACAAAACCTCTTTTTTTTTTTTTTTTTTTTTCTTGTGGATCTAAAAAGGAACTCCGACCAAAGAATTTAACTGTTAATGTTTTTTTTTTTTTTGTTTGAACTTTCTCCAAGCATTTTTATTTTTAACTCATGAATTTTTAAAAAGATAGTTACTGTGACATCTAGCTGAAGGAAAATAAAACTCCAGATCTTCTTTTATCATTAAATTCAGTGTTGCAATATTTCTTTCTTGTTTTTGACATCTGAGGAAAACTTAGATGATATTCATAGACGATCCATTAAAATTTACCATGGTGCAATTTTGTTACTTTTAGTAGCAAATTGTGTTACACAACATACTTAACTCTTTGTGATCCAACAGACCCAACTTCAGCATTGAGAGGATGTCTTCAGCCAGGGATCAAGGGACTTATGCATGGTATTTTCTTTGAAAATATATCTGCATATTTTTAAATAGGGTTCTAGTTAAATTTTTCTTTGAAAATCCCCATGACCATTTTAAGAAAATGTAACATTTTTTGTCCTTAATTTTTTTTTTCATGTCGCAAAGTTTTTTTAATAGAAAAATGACCAAGGCAGTTAAGTTTTGAAAGATAAAAAAAAAAAAAAATCAAATAAGTCTTATTGAAAATTTATGAAAAACGGATTCTGTTTCATATTTACGATTATTCAAAGATCATGGAAAAATTGGTTGACTTAAATGTTTTCTTGTAAAGTTTTTAAGTTCATAAAAAGGAAAAAACTTACTTTGTTTGAAAAAAGGCTTCCAAACTCTTGTACATTTTAGCCTCTTGATAGTTCAGCAAGTCTTTTCTCAGATTTTGGCATGGTGTGTTGCTGGAGATGCTTGTTTTGGTTGAAAATGAAACAAGCACACATGGAATGAATATATTTTCAGGTTTTGATGATAGCATGTTGTTTTGAATTCCAAGAAAAGTTTTTGTGATGAATTAATGAGTTAATTTTATCATTTTCTCTCTCTCACTTTAAAAAAAAAAAGTTGGAAGGCAAAAATTGCCGTAGATGTCTTTTTTTTTTTTTTTTTTTTTTTTTTTAAAGAGCACCTTAGCATTGGGAAGTAGTCTGTCCTTGATGGAAGAGTTGTCCATTGCATGTTGTATTACCAGCTACCATATAGGGATGAATAGCTGGGCAAGGAGTTGGTAGAAGTAAGATCTGTGGCATTAAGCCAACATAGCAGAAATTCAAAATATTAACTACCTACCCACCTACATGACCAGATGAATAAAAATCTAATTTATAATATAGGAAACGATGTTTGCATTCTTATTCCTTTTCATGGTGTTTCTTTCATCTTGTGAGCATGTCATTTTCCAGTTTTTGGTGCACAGTGATGAAATTGAGAATCAGAATGCAACCAGGGGATAAAGAGGTCTATGTATTCAATGGATAAAAGCTCCTGTTTGCTTATCAAGAAAAGAATTAATTGCATTCCTGTTCGAGTTCCTTTGAGCAGAGAGCATGAAAGAAAAAATGAGTGAGAGTCAAAGAGATATGCAGAGAAAAGAAAAAATTTTATAGCTTTCCTTCCAGCGATATTAAGCCAGCTTCTGTTTCCTTAGTGAGAAATGAAGAAGAATGGAGCATGAAAGAAAAAAAAAAGCAGACATTTTTCTCAACGTATTTTCTTGTGAAGTGCTAATGTTTTTTATTTGTCTCAGCAGTTATGATCAAAGACTTACCTATTCAAAGAACTTAAAGCTTTCCTCTTGGAGAGATTTAGACAAAAAAAATGGGTATTTAGCCAATTTACAAGTTTCTTTTATTGCTGATTCTGTTTATTTTGTATGCTTATTTGGTACTTAATAAATATTGAATGTCTGAATACTCTAATGTCTCATCAAAAGTTACTTTTTTACTGCTTTTTAATAAAATTTAACCTATGGGGAGTATTCTTGATCCCTTAAGACCTGGATTCAGTCTTGTGACAATTACCCAGAATTTTCTTCTTTACCAGTTCACACTTGGGGTGAAAAGAAGCAAATGACAGTTTACTTTCTGTGATTAGGAGGGTGAAATTTTCATCCATTTATCCATTCCAATGCTTTAAAGTTTAATTTGAAATATTTAGAATTATTTTTTTAAAAAGTTATATAAAAAAAAATAAATAAAAAAGTAAACTAGCACCTAAATCTTTTGTAAGAAAGCTTTGATTCATGTAAGAAGAAAGAAAAAAACATGAAGCAGGTACCTCCAAAGATTCACAAAAAATTAGCATGCATGATGAAAAAAAAAAGCCCAAGTTTTATGATTTGTCTTAAGCCAAAAGGATTTTTTCATGTAAAAAAATTTGATTTGGAAATGTTTGCAAAAATCAGATAGTTCTTGGATTTTTAATTATTTTTTTTTAAAATGTATCCTTTATTTTTCTTTTAAGAAAATCTTGATAAAATTTTTTTTTTTTTTTTTTTTTTTTTAACATCTGTTTTACACTTATTTAATTTATCAAATTTCAAGAAGATCTTTTTTGCAGCACTTATTGTTTATATTAGTTATAAGGATATGTCCACTGGGAATTTAAATCATTAAAATTTTTTGTTCAACCAGAACCCCCAATTAGAGAAAATCTACTCTAAATCAAAAAATGCAAAATATTACTTTTATGAATGAAATATATTATGGACACTATTGCCTTAGAACATTTTGATGAGTAATGAATTTTTACTAGACTTCATTTTTTTTTTTTTTTTTTTTTTTTAATTTATTTAGAATAATTTACAAACTTGTTTGTATTAATTTAATAATTTACAAAATTGTTTGTATTAATTTTTAGTGGTCAAGTGATATTATTAAAGGAAGTCCATTTACTTATAAATAGAAAAACTTACTATAATTCAACAACCTCCAGTATTTTAAAAAGAATTAATATTTTTTGTGTGTGTGTACCGATTTTTGTAAATACACAACAATATCGGAAAATAAGTGGTAATGACTATAGTAAATTTATTGGTAATTTTATAACATTTCTTCAACAAGTGTCTTAAGTAAAATATTAGAATCAATAAATATTTAAAATTTTTAAGATTACTGGGTAGTTAAAAAATATGTGAAAAACGCATTTACATTGTATTCATTAGGTAAATTTATTAAGATTATTTGCTCCATACTTATTTCTGAAATACTGAATTGATGTGTCAACACCTCATAAAAACACTCACCTCCTTGTTAAAAAAAAAATAAATGCTTTTCTGTAATATTTGTTTCAATTCAGAAATCAGCTAATGTTTCTCAAATAACAGTTCAGAAGAGTACATTTTATTTTTTAAAGATTTTTTTTTTTTGATAAAGAGAATTATGTTGCAATGATAGATTTTATTGATTTTTCTGATAATCAAAGAACAAATCCTTCCAATCAGTTTAGATTTGGTTTGAAGTACAATAGACTATTTTGCTTATTGGAAATATTAAATTTAATCTGTTGAAATTAAAAGTGAAATAAAAGCTCCAGCAAAGGGCTTTAAAAATGCATTTTAAACCTTAAGTATTTTTTTTTTTTATGCTGGGTGAATATCATTCTTGGAAAAGACAAACCAAAGCTTGACTGGAAAATCAAAACTGAAGTGGGGAACAAAGAATTTCATTGTTATTTTGATTCCAAGTATTATTGAATCAAAATTACAATGACATACAGTATGAGTCTGTTATTTTGTCAACATAAGAATCCATGGACAGCAGCTACTGCAATTTCAACAATTTGATTTACATCATTGACAAAACAAAAAATCCCAGAACTATCTGAATTCTGCTATTTGTCTGAAAACCTTTGGCCAGCAATGAATTGATACAGTGATCGATCACTTAAAAGCAGCTTTGATTCAGTTGCATAATGGATCAGAAGTGTATTTTCTCACATTAAAATTAGTTCATATCACATTCACAGAGGAGTGGGGAATAATTATCTGCAGTGGACGGGGCAATTGGCAATTGCCTTGCATTATATTCTGGTTTTCAAATTGCCATTTGCCACTGAATAAATACGTCTACTCAATGGCTGGACAGTGGAAGGGTTGGGCAAGGGCCACATTTATGTTTACATACCTAAATATTACTTTAATTTTGAAAGAATTCTGGAACAATAATCTTTTAATTCATTTTTTTATACTTTTTGCATAAAGTTGAGGTTTCAAGTTTGAATGACTATTGATTTTCTGTGTACCACAAAAATAGCAAATGGCAATATTTTTTTTTTTTTTTTTTTTATACCTAACTTTTTTCTTTCTTTTTTAGTTCTTTGCCGCAAAAGCTTTGAGGATGATCCTGATGTTACTGAAGAAGATATAAGTGAAGAAGTTGCATTATTAAAGTGAGTTTTTAATTGGTATGATGTTTAGCTAGTTGGTCATGAGTCATCTAGGAATAAATTTTGTTACTCTTTTGTTGAATCTAGTGTAGTGTCTATATTCTAACAGTGTTATATGCTTATTATAACCATGCAATCCCCACCATTCCTTTCTTCTTTATTGTTAAACCTTACTTTTGCTTTTTTTTCTTCCTCATTGTTAGCTAATAGCAATTTTTTCTGGAAAGAAGTGAGTTGGTTAACATGTACCACTATAATGCATTATCAGATTTTATAAAAGATTGAATTTTATACTGTAATAATTTGAAAAATGTTCTGATAAACTGGTTTGTTTCTTTTCTTTTTTGCAATGAAAAGAAAAGCTAAAACAAATAACTATCATGTTACAAGGAAAAATTACTTTTGTTGAGCATTTGCAGTCTTATAGAGTCACTACACTACACCCATATAGTGTTGCACACACAGCCTTGCCTGGAGGTGTTAAGGTTTTAAGGTGGTAAAGTCTGCATGAATCTTCAAGATTGGGACAAACTCAAAAATGATCCATAGTTTAAAATTGCCTGCATTGGCAGTTGGGATCATCATCAATGTCATATCACTATTTTTGAAGGTTGGCTCTAAAGTGTCCAACAGCTGTTTAGAGGGGATTCAGGCAGGACCAGAAGGGCCAGGCATCACTGGAGCCAAGGTGGAAGGATTTTGTAGGACTGAGAGAGCCTGTGTTCCATGTTGTTAAGGTAGCTGTGCCACAGTGACAGATGCTGACTAGTTCTGTTGAATGTAGACTTGAGCCACTTTGTCATTGGTTCACAGCCACGGAGAGGATAATGAGGGTCTGTATCCTGCTTTCAACTTTTTGGGAGTGGACTACTGTTCTGATGTAAGTGGGAAGCAATGCCACTAAGCAAGTAGAGGTCATCTACTTTGGTTGGCTTGAGACACCCAGTGAGTAATCTGCAACAGTCATTTAAAGCAGTAAAGAAGTGCTATTCTTTAAATGAACAAGTAATATCTCTCATAACTTGTTTTTTCATCAAGAAGTTCCAGTGAGAACCAGTTTAGATGCCAACTATAGACAGAACATTTTGATCCTATTAAGGTACAATCACTGTATTGGAAAGTAAACTAAATATACAAGTGGCCTTAGTTTCCTCACACTGTATTGAAAATCAGGCCATCTGCAGGAACACCTGGTGCTGACGTGTTAAAATTTATTGAGAATCAGAACAGTTCATGATTTCAGATACCTGGAATCTGCTTTCTTCTCCAGAATCAGATGAATTGATTTTTTTTCTCTTACATTAATTTTGACTTTATCACCTTAACTAATTATACCAAAAATATCTTAATGTCCAACTGATGAATTTTCTTATTGGTTGGGTATGTGCCAACAAAGAGGTATGTCACATCTCGGAAGGGATGGAAAAAATCAGCAGCACTGGAATCAAATAATAAAGGAGCAGAACAGTGGATCATGAGAAGCAGGGCATGAACAAAACCTCTACACATATGGGATGAATGCAGCCAAGACACTGGAAACACTGACGAATGAATTTCAAATGATACTTGATAACATGGACAGAAATTCTTGGTAATGCACAGCGTGCTGACCACACTGCCCCTTCCCAGAAAATGTGTCTGCTTTTATAGAGCCCAGAACATTAGCGGTTTCCTAGCCAAAGGAATCCTTTGCATAACTAACCTTGCTCAGCTGACTGTCCCAACTATTTCATGGAGAAGATGGTAGATACTTTCTTTCTTCATAACCTGACGATCCACGGTTCACACTGGATCTGTTCTGCCCATGCAGCCAGTTGCTTTCTTTTTGCAGAAACAGCACACTAAATGTCTTCACTTTGACTGACAGGGGTGGGTACTGTTATCAGTATCTTTTTTTTTTTTTTTTTTTCTTCTTTTTTTTTTATTGTCCCAGTAGTAAATAAGTTCTGTTGTTTCTAACAATTATCACTTTTCATAATTCTAGGTGAGTAGTTGTTTTGGTTTCTTCTATCAACTGTGCCTAATGTGTACAATGTTTAGTTAACATGTCATTAATTCTTAGATATATTTTTCTCACAAATCCGGATTTTCCATCAAATTAACCAACAGCCACAAGTTCACAAATAATGGTAATTTCTAAATATTAGATCTGTATCTTTTAATAGTTTTAAAATCAAACCATCTTGAAATCTTACTGCATATTTTTGTGTTTTGCTAAATAAGGCTTTCAATGAACTGACATTCATAGCTCCAAGGATATTGCATATACAGATTTGAAAGTTGGTGAAAATAGTTAATGTTTAATGTAGATTAAAATAAATATAAATGGCTTAGGTGTATTCTCCACTTTGAGAGCTTCTTATTTACGAAGTATGTCAGATGCAGCATCCAAGTTAGTTTTCTTGTCACTTATGACCTACAAGGTATCCCAAACTGCAAAAATGTGTAAAAATAGTAAAATTTCCTTCAGTTTCAATTTGTGATATCTTATTTATTTTTTAGGCTAGTTTGATGAAATTAATATGTAAAAGAAATTATAAAGATACAATTCTTTTTTGTGTGTGATTAGTTTTTATCCTATATATTTTTCTGAATTATGTCACAATTTTAATGATGCATGCCACCTTTTCTGCATTCTCAAAATTGACAATTTCATAGTGATTTTAAAATTTGTATTTTGTTTTGAGTTATCTTCCTACACATATAAAAAAGTCCTATCTTAAAAAAAAAGGATGCTTGTCAATTTGGTGGGCTTAAGATAGGGTTTGGAGTTGTGGCGGACATGAGACAGAACCTGGGATGAGCACAACTGGTTGTGACTTGCCTTGTCCCCGCCAAAAAAGAGCCCGTATTTGCTTAGCATGTAAAGCTACTGCAGTTGAAACGAAGGAGAAAAAAGCACTTGCTGCTCTGCCGTAATCCGTCCTCGGCCAGATAACGTAAAAGAGTGAGGGGGGACTTGCATTGCATTTTTATGCAATAAACATGCAATGCATTATGGGACATGGACGCAATGAATTATGGGATCACATGAAGACGCAAGGGATTATGGGTATATGGACAAATATAAAAGCAACTAATTTTTTCCCAGTTTCAAGTGACGTTCACGGTTGGCGGCAAGAACAGTCAGTTAACGTGATTTTGAGACAGAACTCGAGAAGGAACGACTCAAGGTTGAAATACCAGCTGGGAGAGCTTGAATTTACTCGCTGGTTGCTGTTTTCTTTATTCACCTCACTTTCACAAAGGATTTCTAAGTTGAAAATTTTAATGTAGAAATTCAACACTTAAAAAAAAAAAAATGGAAAATTGCACTTCCTTGTAGAGCATTGTATCATTTTAATAATCAATTGATTTTGTATCTTTGCACCCATACAACTTCAGGCACATGTGAATCAAAAATGGTGTACTGTGTTTATTTGTGCAAAACCATTGGGTCCAACCAACACATTGAAATTTGTATTGGTGACTGAGTCAATGAATATCACCAGATGAACTCCATTTTAAATCGGACCTGTTTCATTGAGGGATACTAATACTAGACAGCTTAAGCCTTAAATTGAAAATTTATTTACATTTTCTTTTAAAAACAAAATAGGAAACTGGATACATTTGATAAAAATAAAGAATAAATTTTAGCTTTACTATGAACTCATGCTGAATTCATAAAAAAAATTGAAATGTATTCAAGTAATTTACAAAACGTAATCAATTTCCTTTTCTTTTTTTTTTTTTTTTTTTTTTTAAATGGTTACTTGTTTACTAATTCTAGGGATTAGGTCCTATTTGAGAGATTGAAATTAAATTTACCTTTCCTTACAAAAATGCATACATTTTAATATTCTTAACTTTTGCAAACGTTTTCCTTTCATAATTTATTTTTTACCTTATGTCATTATGGAAAATAATAAACATAACTTTTTTGTAAGCAGGTATCTCTTCATATTTTTCATGTATTAGTGCTTTCCATGCCAGGGCTCCCTAAGTATTGAACCACCTCTTGATTGCTGTTGTTTCCAGGTACACTCTGACCTGTTAGGGTCCCAGCTAAGGGCAAGTAGTTAACCTCCAAATGGGTCAAAACACTATAAAAGTGTAAAAATACCAGCAATACATTTTTGAAATTTAAAAAAAAAAAAAAAAAAAATACCAGCGATACTCTCGACAAAAACCCTCTTTACAAAAATATATCGATGAAACTTGATCTACAAACTGATTTCTTACAAAGGCTACATATTCTATTCATACAAATCTATTCTAAAAATCTTGTCAACCCATTGAGGTTGATATGCTGTAAAACAAAATAAATCAAATCAGAGCCCCTTACCAGAGTGATTAATAAAATTTACATTTAATTTTCTGTTCAGTCGATGAACTCTATCTCCTGGGAAGTAGTATTCTTCTTCTAAGTGAGAAGAAAGCCAAATTTCTTGCAATATATGAAAATTGATTGATTTGTTTTCTACGGCCTATCAACCCTTTGCATGTTATAAAATAATATTTTTGCATGTTAGAAAATATTTTTAGGTTGTAAGAGGTTTTTTTTTTTTTTTTTTTTTTTTTTTATAGATAGTAATGATTTAGCAATACAAGTTTTACTAATTAACTTGGAAGGGAAAGATGTGGATTCTTACCTGTCCCAAGGATATTTGTGATAACTGAATATTACAAACCCAATTGAAACTTGGCTATCTGATTAGCAATTCAAAGGCATTATACATTACACCACTCACACATCCAAGCTTACAGTGCCTGGTATTGCCAAGTTATTGACCAGGCTCAATGTTGTTGTGATCGTACTGAAATCGGTGTTTCAATGTGATATGGTCATAAGCCTAATATACGAAAAGGTTACTAATAAAGTTAAAAACTGTGATGAAGGGAATAGACATTAGTGATATAACTTGTAATGGAACTTCCACCTAAAAGAGTAAAGGAAGGAAAAAAGACACATGAATTTGAGTATTCAAACAACTCTTGCATTTGTGATGAAGAACACCACT